TCTACCAGCATTAGGAGACAAGCACACCTGGGCCCAGACAAGTCCAGAAAAGCAAAGGCGTGTAGTACTAGCAGAGCCCAATTCAAGGTGGGGCTATCTGGTAGGTGACAGAATGGATCCTCTAAGGCTAGAGGATGGGCTGGGACCTCTCGCCCACCGTCCTATCTCCAGCTCCTTCTACAGCCTCCCTTAGAGGAGCACAGCAGCCATGCATGGGGAGACTGTGAAGCTGAGGCTGTGAATTTGGGAGAAGCCACCTGGGTGGAGGCTTGTTCTGCGGTGGTGAGAGAAAGCAGGCAGTGATTAGGAAGGACTGGATCCTGAGACCTGGGACCCCTTCAGCATCCCACTTGGTGGAATTGGTAGTGGGGAATCCACAGAGTAGCACATATCTCAGTATGTGTTCTGTGCTACAACAGAATGCCAAAGACCAGGGAATTTAGAAGGAGAGGAATCTGCGCACTCCTCCCATTGCCCTGCCAGGAACCCAGGTCAGCACGCTGGAGTTCCTGGTTCTCCCCACATTGTCATTCCTCCTGCTCCTAATCTCTCCTCCTTTGTCTTCCTGTTAAATGCCCATTTCATTGTGAACCATGACCAGCCTGCTGTCTGTTCAAAACATACAAGTATTTATTGAGTTACCATATTAAGCCTAAAAACACTACCAACATTTTTAAAAGAAGGAGAACAAGATCCTCCCTGCCTCTGGTTTTTGATCAGAAATCTATGAGTCTGGAGGTTGTGCTTTTAGCAGCTACTGTGTAGCCTCTGACCTGAGGCCAACGTTTGAGTCCACAGGCTTACACTCCAGCAGGAGGGAAATGACTCTCCTGTTTAACGGCCTAAGGAGCCTCAGCCTTGTGGAACTTCCCCTTCAAAGATGCGTGCTGCTTCTCCAGTCACACCTGACACCTAGCTGGAGACTTCTAAAGGATGCCTGATGACAATGATTGCTAATATCCCAGGGCACTCAATTCTTGCATCAGGGCTCGTGGGGACCAGGGATATATGTTATCATCTGTCATCCTCAGAACCATCAGAGAGCATTTACAATAGATAAGGAAACGAAGCACAGAGAGGTTTAAGCCTTGCCCAAGGTCACACAGCTGGTCAGTGCAGGATGCATCCTTCAAGCCCAGGCCACCTGTGACATTTAAAAAGAATTCACCTGGACCTAATGGAATAGCCTAGTGGATGAGGTCCTTGCCTTGCACTCGCTAGGATCCCATATGGTGTCCCAGCTGCTTCATTTCCCTTCCAGCTCCCTGCATGTTGTTACCTGAGATTCAGAAGAAGGGATGGAATCCATGCCAAGTGGTTCATTCAGAAGATATTTGGGTGCCAGTCCTGCTTCCAGAAACTGAAATGAAGAGAGAGGTAGAGAGACCACTGGGACTCATGTCTCAGAAAGTGCAATGGCTCAGGCAGTTGGGCCAGAGCTGAAAGTCTTGTTTTTAAACCAAAACACTAGCAATAATCTGCAGACTCAGCAGGGTAGCTAGTAGGGTGTAAATAGGACAGCGGCTTGGCCTGAGCCCTGCCAGTTCATCCAGCACAGCCCACAGAGGCACTAATGCCTAGCAGTTAAATCCATGTGCAAAGTTCAACACCCTAGTCACAATTCTGGCTCCACCAGTCAAGAGCTGTATAACCTTGGGCAAGATGCTTAACCTCACAACTGCTCATCTATAATTTGCAGATAATGTTTAATACCTATATTCAAAGAATTGGCCTGAGGATTAACAACATCATCCCCTATCATAATAGTAAAGGTAAGAATAAGCTGCTAATAATGATCTATTAGCTGGTGTTGTTAATACTATTATTAATACTATTAGGAGTTATGAAAATCTGGTATGAATAGCAGCTAATGTGTGAGTCCTTATTATCACCATCATGATTGTCGCTCAGGGGCTGGAAGGAAAGGGCCTGAGGGCACAGAGGTAGCAGCTGCCATAAATCCTCGTTCAAACCAGACCATAGCAGCACTGTAGTTTGAAAGCCAGTGTTGAGTCACGATATCAATTTAAAGGGTTTAGTCAGCCTCTTAAAAAATGAAAAAGAATGAACTAGGAGATAGAGTGCATTGTTCATCCTACGGTACACATGTGTCAATCTTCCCTTGCTGTTTTATACTTACAAAAACATGCATGCATCCATGGGTCTGTTGGTTCACATTGTGTGATGTATTATCGGCAAGAAAATGTTACCGGCCTTGGAGTAGAAAGTATTGTCCCAGCCTTTCTGTCATACACACTTGGGGACAGTCATCTTGCCAGCACTGTAGGTAAGCTGATTATCTAGGGACACAACCTCTCCTACCCCTGCAGTGGAGCACAGAGCCCTGGATATGGGCCTCTGTCACATGATCTGATTCCTGGATATCCAAGGTCACATTCCTTGCTCCAACATAAATCTTCAGGAATAGTTTAACAATTAGAAAACAAAATGTGTCACTGATCCAGTTTGATTGGCTCTAGGTACAGCTCCAAGACATCCTAGTCTACCTGGTGATGCCAGTTTAGGTCACTATGGGACCTTAGGTAGGGGATGTTAATCACCCTGGATCAGGTGGCTGCATCTACAAAATGGAGATGAAAACAGTTGTCTTATATGCTTCTAGTTATTAAGAAGCCCCAACAAAATCATAGGATTTGTAATCTGAAAAATAGGGAGAATCACATCAGGGCAAGGGGGAAGCATGTGCGTGGTAGGCACACAGGACCCATGCTCAGTCCCACAGAGCACAGTGGTACCAACTCTGGGCTAGGACATTCTGATCTGTCTGACTTGTTCTGGAGAGTTCTTTCCCAGGACAGAGTTGCATGTATAGTTGCTTGTATAGGAGATCTGCCCTCGAGAGGGTCATGGAATCCTTAGGAAGGAAGAAGGGATATTCAGGTAAAAGGCCTATGACCAAAAGTAGAACCTAGAAATCACCAGCCCTCAGGCCACATTTCACCCACCAGTGTCTTATTGGGGGGTCTACGTACTAGTTTGAAATAAAGTAATAGTGGTGGAAAGTATTTTTTTTAAGATTTAATTATTTTTATTGAAAAGTCAGATATACAGAAATGAGGAGAAACAGAGAGGAAGATCTTCCATCCGATGGTTCACTCCCCAAATGGCCAAACAGCTAGAGCTGAGCCAATCTGAAGCCAGGAGCCTGGAGCTTCTTCAAGTCTCCCACAGGAGTGCAGGATCCCAAGGCTTTGGACTATCCTCGACTGCTTTCCAGGCCACAGGCAGGGAGCTGGATGGGAAGCAGGGCTGCTGGGATTAGAACCGGTGCCCACATGGGAACCCGGTACCTTCAAGGTAAGGACTTTAGCTGCTAGGTTATTGTGCCTGGCCCAGTGGAAAACATCTTTAAACCACACATTTTCCATCAAAACCCAACTTTCCAACTTGTTTAAGAATTTTACAAGGCAGGGCTCTACACCATGGCTCAGTGGCTAAATCCTTACCTTGCATGCGCTGGGATCCCATATGGGCACCAGTTCATGTCCCAGCTGCCTCACTTCCCATCCAGCTCCTGGCCTGTGGCCTGGGAAAGCATTAGAGGATGGCTCAAAGCCTTGGGACAGTGCACCCACATAGGAGATCCAGAGGAAGTTCCTTGCTCCTGACTTCAGATCAACTCTGCTCTGGCCATTATGACTACCTAGGAAGTAAACCAGTGGATAGAAGATCTTTCCCTCTGTATCTCCTTCTCTTTGTAAATCTGCCTTTCCAATAATAAACAAACAAACAAACAAACAAACCAGACACCTCCTCCCACCTCCACATGGGCAGGCACTGAGTCCCTGGGACTGCTCCTGGGACAGACCCTTGATGCCCGGACCCAATATTGACTCTGCTGTTTCTCTATCAGGACAGTAAAACAGTGGATACTTTATATACTCCTGTTGCTCTGAGAAATGGAGTAAGTGAAAGGCAGAACTGAACGGATTGCACATTTCAAGATAACCAAGAGACACATGCATCTTTGCAACATACTTTCTGTCCATCTCTTTCCCGGAAGCTACAGGAAGACGGCCTACAACCCACCATGGTGCAGTCAAGGGCAAGAGTCAAGAAGGCAGGAAGATGAGAAAGAGCTTGTGTGGGCAAACTCTGGGCTCTGGTGGTGCTGGTGGAGGCTCTGTTGACATGGATATCTGCAGGAGATGGGCGAGAAGGACTCTTTTACCAGGGGAAAGAGTGGGGGCTGGGTTGGGGGCGGGGAGGCTCAGGGTTCTAGGGAAGCAATGAGAGTCGAAAAAGCTCAGGCTTCAGAACCAGGCAGGTCAGCGTCCCCCAACACTGGGGTGACCTTGAAGGAGTCTTTTAAGCTTCATTTTCTCACCTGCCAAGTGAGGCAAATTAGCTGTTTAGACAAGCAAATTGACCAGGCACCTGCTATTCAACAGACCTGGCTGTAGGTGCCCCCGGTTAGGAGAGAAAGCAGGTATAAGGTGCATGCTCAGAGGAGGCATACATGCTAGAGGGAGGAGACAGACAAGAAGTGAATCATTATATGATCATCTGGGATGACAGGTGGGGGTTGGTTGTACACACATTGGAGAATAGTATCTGGGCACATGTGATCATTTAATCAGAGAATGTGCACACAACACGTATCCCAGTGTTGGCATGGAGTTACTCATTTCCCAAGGAGCCCTCTGGAATTCTGGGTCGGGCCCTGTCTCAGCTGACCTCTGATGGGAATAAAGCAGGTGCTCACCCCAGTGTACTCTGGCCTTGGCATCACTTGTATGACAAGCTCACTGAAGCAGCAACTGAGGCATCTTCGTGGCAGTAAGAGCCCACCGTGAGGCTTAGAACTCCCCGGTTCTCCAATCTTTTACAAACCACAGGGATACTGGTGAATCCAGGAATGCCATTGCCTCGTGAGGCCAGAGCTCATATCCTTTCTTTGTTTCCCCTAACCCCTAGGCCACTGGGCCCTGAGTGCGGCAAGGCCCGTGTTGGATGTGGAGGAACGCAGGCCGGAGGCCATGGACGTGAAGGAGAGGAAGCCCTACCGTTCCCTTACCCGGCGCCGTGATGCTGAGCGTCGTTACACCAGCTCCTCCGCCGATAGCGAGGAGGGCAAAACCCCGCAAAAGTCCTACAGCTCCAGTGAGACCCTGAAGGCCTACGACCAGGAAGCCCGCCTGGCATATGGCAACCGCGTCAAGGACATGGTACCGCAGGAGGCTGAGGAATTCTGCCGTGCAGGTGAGAGTGGGTTCCGGGGCACAGGTGTGCACCTGGGCAGGCACACCCCCTTGGGCTGGAACCAAAGAGCCGAGCCCAGTGTTGAATAAGGCGGCACATTGACCCGGGTCCTAGCTGCTTGGGAAATGGGCCAGTGAGACATAATGTAAGCAGACCCTGAGGACTCTTCCCAGTTGAACTTCCCAGCACCACCAGGTCACTGGAGCTGACCCTTCTCTTGCCTCTCCCTAGTCCAGACAAGTCTCAACACCTTGATTCTGATGCCTAAGGTCTGGCTATTTAAAAGAGTACACAGGGCAGCCGTACGGAAATAGTACTGCCCAGGCTGTTGATAGCAAATCAATTTGATTCCTCACAATGTGGCAGTCATTCCATATAACAAGTGAGGGTTTCTATTAAGAGGGCCGCCCCAACAGTACATAGAGATGGGCTAGGGCCAGGGGAGCAGAACAGGAGGATGGAGTGTCAACCAGAATGGGATGTGTAGTGAGAGGGAAGAACAGTAATTTAGGATTTAGGTTCCAATTTTGAAAGTTTGTTTTAACTTGTGGATTTTATTTTGCTTTGTCCTGTTGTTTCCTTAGAAGGAAAGCAAACTATGAGGGCTTATTGGAGTATGGCAACAGGGATGGGATTGGAAATGTTTCACATCTGGTCTGGCCTAGCCCCTAGCCAATCAGAATGTCTGCCTGACTACTGAACACAACCTACATTCACCTGCTGGGCCAAACTTGCTGACATTAACCTTTTGTTTAGAAAATAGATCAAAAGGGAATTAGGGGAAGGGAGTGTAGGGAAGGTGGGAAGGTGCTGAAATAGCCAAGACAGAGCCTGGTAGGCATTGAGTGTGTAAGGAGGCACTGGGTGGCGGCAGGGGCTGACAGCAGTAACAGTACTCAGCAGCTAGTGTGCAAGTGTCCCACCTCGAATCAAGGCCGTGTCAGCATAAGCCACCCTAGGAGCAGGCTCCACTACCATTGCCTCACTCCATAGTCTGTTACATCAGTACTCTAACTGGTTTCCCTCTTCTGTTATCCATGTTGGAGAGAGATGCACTTACTGAGTATTAGCCCTGCAGCAGGAATGGCAGGTGTTGGCTATTGAGATAAGGTGTGAGGGTGGAGAAATACTGAATAGAGTGAGACTCATTTATACTAGGGTGCCATCCTTGTTATTTTTTCTTGCAACCTCCCTGGCAGTTCCTTTCCACTTCCATAGGCTTCTCGTGTTTGGTCCTGGTCTTGGTCACAGGATACCTTAAAGTATGGGCATCTGCCTCTCTCTGCTCTGTTCCCACACTCACTGTAAGCCAGTAGCCCCTCCTCCTAAGACCCCACCAGACTCCTCACCTTCTGCCTCTGTTCTCGCAGAGACCTCTCCACAGACCTCCTCACTTTGGTCTTTGCCCTCTTAGTCCTGTGTCTGTCGCCCTGGGGGCAGGCACTTTTCTGCTCATAGTGGTGTCTCAGTGTGGGCCCCAGGGCCAGCTGGAGTGGCTGTCACTGTGAACACTACCTGATGACAAGTCCATTTCCCCAGATCTTTGGTGTATTTGGGAATGACCCTTTGTGCCTTCCTATACACCCTATTAGAAATGTGTGAGCACCTGTCTCTGAATAGCCAGTGAATTAACATTCAGGAATCATTCCCCAATAAGGCAGTGTTCTCTTTGTCCCTGAAACACTAATCTTGGGGGAACTTACCTCACCCACATTTTTGCTTGCCTCATTCCCGGGCATTATAAGTGCACCCAAGAGACCTGTTCTGCTGATTGCCCACTGTAGCCCCAACAGGTGTAAGGGAGCAGCAGGCACTTTTCTCATCCACTGGCTCTCTCGGCCAGAAAGGAAGTGCTAGTCCTAGGGGTTCCGTGTAGGACTCTTCAGCAGGCTTGTATGCTGTACTGCTCAGGACTGACAGCCCTTCCTTCCTGGAAGAGGAGACCTGAAGCCCTCCATGCAACTTATTGGACATTTATTGAACTCTTTATGAATATGGAGTTTAGGTTAGGCACAGAGATTAACCAGGCCTCTGAGCCTTCCTCTACAGCATGGCCAAGGTCAGGGAGTGGAAGGAGGGTGAAAGGAAGAAGCAATGAGTTCTACGCAGGTGTAAGCACTGAGGGAGGCTCACAGAGCAGGCGTGTTTGTGCTGGGCGTTAAGGAGGTGCAGGATTGGATCAGGTGTAGAATAGGCCCTGAGTACCCTACACACTGAGGAAATGGCTTGAGCAAAGGTGAGGACACAGAACGCCACGGGAACCCCGGTTCCTCCTGGCGTAGCCCAGGACCTCTGCTGGAGACTGACATGGGTTCCTCTGTGTTTCTGCCCAGGTGCCAACTTCAGCCTACGTGAGCTGGGGCTGGGAGAGGTGACACCTCCTCATGGGACCCTGTACCGGACAGACATCGGCCTTCCTCACTGCGGCTACTCCATGGGGGCGAGCTCAGATGCCGACATGGAGGCTGACACCGTTCTGTCCCCCGAGCACCCAGTGCGGCTGTGGGGCCGAAGCACACGGTCAGGGCGCAGCTCCTGCCTGTCCAGTCGAGCCAACTCCAACCTCACACTCACCGACACAGAGCATGAGAACACAGAGACTGGTGAGTGGTCCGTCTGGCTTGTGTCGGGCACTGAGGTGGTGGGCCAGGGGTCTTGTGGCAGGCACCCTGTTGCTTCGGACCCTGGTGAAGTTGGTGAAAATTTGTTTTACTCTCAGTGGTCAAAAAATCAGAGGAAATATCCCCCTGTGGGTAACATGCCAGGATTGGCCAGGAGGTGTCTAAAGGGCCAGGTGCCTGTGTCTGGGGGAGCAGAGGGGACATGGGACCATAGAAACTGATCCCTCAAAGCTTGTCTTCCACAGAAGGGTTCTGCCTACAGCTTGTGTACTCCAGCCTCAAGATACCCGGTGTTTTGTGTTATGCAGAAGGTGGAGGCCCAACCTAAACTTCTGTTTAAGGGAGATGTTGGTCAAAAGGTCCAAAATATGTTTAGGTGGATTCAGTCTACCAGTTGCACAGCATGGTGACTGTTGTGAAAATGCTGGATTCTTCCTGGTTGCTGTAAGAGTAGACTTTGAATGTTCTCACCACAAAAAAGTGAGGTGATAATACGTTCATTGGCTTGATCGGGTTTTTTAGAACGTATACACATAGGGTGGCTGCCAGCTGATGACTACATGGTGATGCGCTGCCACATTTTTTTTCACTTTCAGTGCTGTATTCAATAAATTACAGAAAATATTCAACTTGATGGTGAAACAGGCAGTATATTAGGTGACTTTGCCTGACTGTCAGCTACTGGAAGTGCTGTGAGCATGGTCAAGGTAGAAAATGCTAAGCTGTGATGTCCAGCATGTTGGGTTATTAAATGTTTTCTTGACAAAGGAGGTTTTAGGCATAGGCTGTTTCCCGTTGACAATGGAGTTTTTGTAGATGGAAATAATCCTCCCTGGAAAGTCAAGAAGCATCTGCATGTCGGGACCACATTATACTCCATTAATCACCAAGATGACTGCTTATAAATTCAAAACCAGGTTGAAAGAATGTGACGATGGCAACACATAGCCATCTTTATATAGAAGAACCTGAGAGTTTGCTCCCATTGCCTCATGACTTCCTGAGTGCTGGCTTCAGATTCCGTACCCCGCCTATGTCCCTGTAGCTGCCCCTTTCCGGGCTGGGAGCTGGGCGGAGAAGCAGGCAACAGCTTGTCCCCATGCCACCTTTGCATGGTGCAGGGAAGGGGTCACGTTGGGGGCTTTCTTCTTTCCTCTTGGGACCCAGTCAGATGCAGCCCTGCTGGAGCGGAGCCCTGGGGAACCTTGCTTTTTAGCCATGCTGTATATGGCACCAGCTCAGGGGCAGCATGGAGGGGTGTCAGGCTAAGGTCCACCTGAGAATTCTGGGTCCCCAGCATGCCCATGACCTCCGTGGGGACTCATCTGTGCTCCTTCGTCCACCTTTCCACCAATGCTCTGGTAGAGCTGCAGCCCTCACGTCTTCCTGTCCTCACCCTGCACTGAACTGGAACATGGAACTGAAGGACAGCACAGGGGCCTGGTACTGAGAAAGAAGGGTCTGGATAATCAGGCAGGAAGCCACAGTTTTGTCCCTGGCCTGGAATGTGGCACTGGGGTAGTTGCATCCTGTTTCTAGGCTCCAACTGCCTCATCTCCAAAATAATGTAAGTGAAAACAAGGTTTCCTCTGTTCTGAGAAGGCTGATGGTTCTTAAATGAAGCAAGGAAAGTGTGGTTTGTGATCAAGTCATAGAGGAGATGCTGAGTCACACAAGTGTCTTTGCTGCAGGACTTCTCAGGACCTTGAGTTGCCAGCACACATGCTGATGGCTCCGTTACCAAAGAGGGATGTATGCAACATCCCCAGACTGGTTGGCCACAGAGCCCTTTATTCCAAGCCTCCGGTGGGCCCCATGATCTGATCAACACTTGGCTCTAGGCACTCTGCAGTTCCTCTGGGCATCCTGGGATTGTCCATGCTTTCATGTGGGAGATGAAACCGGAAATGACCATGAAGGATTCTGGCTGATCAGACCCCAACCTGTTGCCAGCTCTCTGTGACCTCACTTCTTCCTCCTATCAAACACTCAGAAGTTGGTTTCATTGCTCCCACCACCACCCAGAAGGTAGCAGGATAGCTCAGAGAATTTATGAGCCCGGCATGATCACACAGTGAGATGAAGCTGTAGCTTTACCCATTGGATTCTGAATTCTCTATTCCCCATATCCCTGGTTTGAGCATAAAGCACATGGGTTGTTGGGTCTTTGGAAGTCTTCTTGCCATGGTGACAAATGCCCATTCTCCATAAAGTCAAGACAGAGTGAGGCATCTGCTGCCCACTGTACTGTATATTCCCCCCCACAGAGCTGAGTTACAGCTGAATTAGGCCTCTGTTCAATGATAATGACATTGGATGAACCTGAAGAGCTTCAGCCTTGGATAATGAGGACAGGACTCTGCAACCCATGCCCCCCGCCATGCCATCCACTCTTTCTCGCACTGGCCACACAATTCAAGGCCTTATTGTACTCGGCAAAGGCAGTCAGCCTGGAGGGTTTGGTCTGCAGGTAGATAAATCTAACAAAAGGAACCTGGCCTCCTTGTCCCTTCCCTGTCTGGAATCCCTATATTGACACAGGTGCCTACACATCTGTCTACTTGCTCCCAACAGGGAGCCTTCAGGAACAGCTTGGCTGTTACACTTGGGTCTAGATCATAATGGTCAACATAGAAACAGCTCACCTTATTCAGCGATGAAGTTCTTAGTGTCCTCCTTCACGTGGCTCTCGCCCCAGCTCAGAGCTCAAATACCAAGGCACAGGAAGCAGAGTGTGTGCCAGAGGCAGTACCTCTCAGAGTGTCTAGGCCTGCCCTCCATACCCCTCATCCTCCCACACTCCCATCCATGCTCCTGGCCCCAGCTCTTGCTTGTTTTCTTGGAAGAAGGCGCAAAATTCACCATCCGAATGGAGATGGATCACACCTGACATGTTAGCTGACACATTACTCTGTGGCCATATTCCAGGAGTAGAAGGATGCAGCAGCCTCAAGCTACCTTTGTGAGAACTCCTTTATTCACCTGATAACACAGTGGCATTCCATTTGCCAAACTGGGAAAACTGAGACTCCAAAAAGGTCTGCTGACATGACAACCAGCAGATCAGCAAAGCATGGCTACCAGCTCTTGTCTCTCAAATCCTGTGGCTATCTATGTCCCTCAGAGTCCGTGAGCAGATGCTGCACTTTGAGTTGAACCCCCTCTCAAATGTGCCGCTGAGTTCTAGGGAGCCTTACCAGACAAATGGGAAATGCAAAGCATCCTCCCTGCCCCCCAGGAACCTGTAGCCATGGGAGCATCGACTGCATCTCCCCCAGCTTTGCATCAATCAATAGTCCTCATCAACAGTATTGATAGCAGTGAAGGCTTCTGCTGAGGTCACGGTGATGCTGCACACAGCTGCCATCAATAATAACTTTTATGGGGTCCATTAAAGCCAATTTCTACCCCTGAAGGTTATTGTCAGCAGCTTTTATGTCACTGCTTAATATCTAAAATAAATACAGAATTGACTGGGTAATGTAAACACAAATCTTCCACCTCAGGCAGAGCCAGCCCTCAGGCCTGTCCCACTGAGGGGGTTTGGCAGGCTCACAGGCTGGGAGGAGGAGCTGGCACGTCGGGCCCACCTGCAACCTTCAGCACAGGCTTTTTACAAATCAGAGATTGTGGGCTGAGCTCCATTCCCACCCCTGAGTCAGGCTGACATACTGTGTTGTGTCAACTCAACCCTGTCCTGTGCTCTTTTGCAGTGCCAAGATCCTTCAGCAGGCCAGGCATGATTCTAGAATGTAGAATCAGGATGAACCGTGGGGAGATAAAGATGGAATCGCCCTGTGGGGTGTCAGAAGCAATGTCTAGAATAGGCAGTAGGCATGAAGAACCCCAGTTTCAGAGTCCAAAGACATCTGACCTTAAACCCCAGCTGCATGACCTTGGGCGAGTCCTTTCACCTCTTCAGGCCACAGCTGGTTCGTCCTACCAACAAGAAGTCAGTGGTCACCAGGGCTTAGTGGGACAGGAGTAATGGCAGGGTTCAGTGAGCACAGGGCTTCAGTTTAGGACCAAGATAAAGGTCTAGAGATGGATAATAATGATGGCCTGACACTGTGGCCAACATGGTGAATGTCACCAGGCAAAAGAATTAAATCTGATATCATGTAGATATTTTCCCACAAGTGTTTTTAAAAACACAAAACAAGCAAAGCAAAAATGCAGTCTTCCTTCCTTGGAATGCTGCTGTGAGTGGTTCCACAGTTTTTGGGAACCATCTGGCCCACGTGGGTCTTTAACACACGTTATGTTCATACTAATTTTCTAAAGAGCTAGGAGGGGGTGATGGTTAAGAAGCCACTCATTTGGCCCTGAGGGTTCCCAGGCTCATGTGTTCATTCCACTCTGTTGTGCTTCTGAGCTTGAAGGCCTGGTAGGATTTCTCTGAGCATGAAGGGTTCAAGACTGGCATTCCCAACAGAGCCAGTTGCACGGGGCAATGCTTGGAGGCATAAAGAGGCCTAAGCAGCTGGGGTAATGGTGAGAATTTACTGTGTGTTTTAGCCTTAGAGGCAAATTGAGAAATTCCTGAAGAAAATAAACAAAGGAATAGAAGCACAGTCACCTGCCACCGCACACACCACCACTCCCACCCGCCCCACAGCAAATTGTCAAGCAACCCAGTGTCAAAAGGGAAATTATTGGTTAACCTAATTAGGCAGCCAAATTGCTTATTCAGAGCCAGTAGACGAGGTGAGCATCTCCAAGCGTGAGAAAGGAGCTCATTACCAATTTAACTCTGTAGAGTCTACTCTCACTGGGCACTTCCACCCAAGACCTGGCTTTCAATATCTCTAAGAATATGTTGTGAAGTCCCAGAGGAGTCCGAGCACCACAGCAGTCCAGCCCACTGTACAACAGGCCAGCATTGCCAAGATATGGAGCAGACCTCCACAGAGACTGTTCTGCTCCTCAAGAGCCAGCCCACACTCCCTCTCTGGAATGCACAGGTGCCAGATGTCATCATA